GAATAAAATACGGTGTGCATTTTGTTCTGCAATTTTCTTTTCACTCAGTGCTAGAGACCTCTCAATGGTAGTTCAGGTCTACTTTCCTCCTTTTTTACACCCTGCGAATCCCACTGGGAGACGACACAGGAGTGATTTAGCCACCTCGACGGATGAGCGTTTAGAGAGTTTGCTACTATAAACATTCAGGAGCCCATGCTGTCTCCTTCTTAAAAGCAGGTATTTAATAACAACTTTATTTTTATTTTTAAAATTCACCCCAGACCCACCCAAGCAATCCAGGTGTACTCCTTGACGGCTGCGGAAAGGGAGGCCCGTTCAGATGAGCTGGTTCCCTGCACTGTCCGTACCCGTTGTCTACCCTGAGATTTCCCAACCAGAGTGCGTTGCTCTGAATTTCCAGTTATTTCATCTCATCCCTGTGGGACAAGAACTCACCCACCGTCTTTTCAAGGGAAATTTCACAGTTTTCCACCCACCCCCAACCCACCCCCCTCCCCTACACACACACACACACACTGGGTTTCAAAACTTAGCCTTGAAGGCAATGGCTTAGACCTCTGCACCCACCAGCCATTTTTTTGCGTTTTAGGGCAAAATATTTCCCTCTCACATCTGCTGCCCAGGTAACTGGCCATGACTTGGCAAGCGTAGGGGGTGCCTTCCTATTTTTCCATGAGCATTTTTTTAGTACCTTTTTTTTTTAACTGTTCAAACAGCTATATTGCTCTGATCTTATTAAGTGGATCTTAATCCTTCAAGTTAATGCCTATTAACTACAGATTTGGACTGACTGAAGCAATTTTTATATCTGCGGAAGGAACTTAGTTTGATAAATGGGCATGAGAATTACCTTCTAACCCAGGCAAGAAATCTAAGATACTCGCCCTGCACGTGGACTGGCCCTTCTCTGTGGGCGCGGCTCATGCAAAAACTCTTACACACCCCAACTGTAGATGGATGGACTTACTCATCACACACACACACACACACACACACACACACATATGCACATGCATGCACACGCACACGCATACACACACACACACGCACACTTCCTCCTACAACACAAGTATGTCTTGCGTTGCTTGGGCTACTCCCAGAAGCAGACATGGCGCCAAGGTTTCGAATGCAAGCAGCTTCCGTGGGAGGTGATTCCAGGAAACACCCATGGAGAGAGGGACGTCAGAGGGGGCGGCAGGCAGCAGCAGAGGCTTGGCTTGCAAGCGGGGCCGCTGTAACAAACACTGAATCCGGCTGCGGAACTCTGGGGCCTGGCTCAGTGGATAGTGTCGGCCCGTGGATTACTTGAACCATCTCGGTGAAATCACTCAAGCGCATGCTAATTCCACAGTCTTCATTAAAAAAAAATACTTCAGTTCTTCCTATTTTACTTGAATAAGTTCAAGTGTCTTTATGTTATACAAACTCAGGAAATTGGTTCCTACAAATGACAGTGGGTAGGTGTTTTCCTGGTATCATTCAGACTAAATGTGATTGCCATCAGCAGTTCCTTTACTCAAAAAGAATTTGTCCTTTTCACGGCCAGGCATACATTCCTGAAAACATTAAAATTATAGGGCAACTGTGTTCTCATAAATAGGATTCCCACATGAAACCAGAGGCCAAAAATACATTGAAGCAAATACTGGAAACCACTTGCTTGTAATTTCCTCACTTAGCATAGGAAAAAACAGCTCGAGTTAATTCCGCTCATGAAAATGAGGAATTGCTCAATTAAGCGGACCCAAACAGTTTCAGTTAAAGATATAAATTTCTCTAATAGGGCAAAATTTGAGAATCTTCTACAAGACACGACGTTTCCTTTTGGTTAAATAGTAAAATGAAGGTATACTGTTAACTCAAAAGAAGGGACAAGAGTAAAACAACATGTTAGACCTTGAAATTCTCAGTGGGTGTCACCAAGGGAAGCAGTAAGCAGGCCTCGGGGTGAGAGCGGGAAGGGGAACCCCTTCGAGCCCAGCCGGTGTGGCTCAGTGGTTGAGTGTTGACCTATGAACCAGGAGGTCACGGTTCTTCTTCCTTTTAAAAGTTGTTTTGGATATTTCAAGTCCTCTCCCCTCCACATCATTTTAGAGCCAGCTTGTCAATTTCTACAGAAAACCCTGCTAGGATTTTGATCGGGATTGCCTCGAATCTATAGATGGATTTGGGAAGAAATACCGTCTTCCCATCCATGAACATGGTATACTTCTCCCTTCATTCAGGTTTACTCTCTCTCAACAATGTTTTGTAGTTAGCAATGTCTCAAGGACACTGAGAGTCATGCTGGAGGTCCCTGCTTAAGTCTGGTTTTTAATACCCCACACATATTCACAGCAATGCCCTTTAGCAAGCAAATGCCCAGAAACAGGACTACCTGGTATTTTTTGAAAAGATTTTGTAAGACACAAAGCTTTTGATTAAAAAGTTATTTATTAAAAATATTTTCCTCCAATTCTGATGACATATCAAATTAAACAAGGTTACAAAGCAATAATTGATCTGATCTGTTTATATAGAGGGTGATAATGACCTCATTAGCTCTTTCGTACATTCTACTAAATAGTGGAATACAAATTCAATTCATTCACTTCACAAAAGGTAAACATAATTGATATACTTCATACCAAAAGTCTTTCATAAAGCTTGTCTTCAAATGTGTTAAAAATTCAGCTAGTATAAAAGGACACTGGCTTAAAAGAGCATCCAAGTCAAGTTTCTGCGCTGCTCACAGAGCACCACAAGGCTCCTCCCAGCTCCCAGCCTTCCCGTGTCCCGTGTCCAGTGACTGAGGCAGAGAGAGCATGGGAAACGCCACCCCAATCCCAGAGCTCAAGGAAGGAAGGGTTTCTGACAGGCTTCGAAGTTCTGAGAACTTCACATTAACACACAGAACACAGACGTTGAATAACGGAAATGCACCGCACCAGGGAACCTGCACAGTTGAGCACTTTGGGACGAGAACTGCCCTCTTTCAACAGGTCAAGCAGTCAGTCTTTTCTCAACAGTCTCTTGATAAGCGACGAACCTCCTCAAGTTCGTCTTCACGTTGTTGAGAACGCACAGCTGATCTGGACTGTATTTGCCTTTCCCTTCTTTTCGGATCTGCCAAAAGAAAACCATATGCGAACTGGTGTCAATTACTAATTCCTTTACATCAAGAGAGCATTTCGTTTTGGGTGTATTTATTTTCAGAACGAGCCAGCTGCTGGAATTGGTGAAACATTTTCACTTTTTAAAAAAAAATTTATTACTGAGATTATTACAGATGTCTCTCTTCTCCCCCCACCCATTGGCCTCCCCCATCCACCCAGTTCTCACCCTGCCCAGACCTTCAATCCTATTGTCTGTATCCATAGGTCATGCATATATGCATATAAGATCTTTGTATAATACCTTCCCGCCCCCCACCCCCTTCCGTCTGAGAATCGTCAGTCTTCCATTTTCATGCCTCTGATTCTATTTTATTCACCAGTTTATTCTGATCCTTAGATTTCTTATTCAATTTATTTTGATTTTTAGATTCAATTGTTGATAGTTATGTATTTGTTGGCATTTTGTTGTTCTTTTTTTTTCCTTTTTCTTTTTCTTCTTCCTCTTCTTAAATACCCTTCAACATTTCATATAATACTGGTTTGGCGGTGATGGACATGCGTGTCCTGGACTTGTAAGTCTATTTGATTCACCAGGCAGGGGAAGTTTTCTCATTATTTCTTCAAATAGGTTTTCAATATCTTGCTCTCTCTCTTTTTCTGGCACCCCCATAACACGAATGTCGGTACACTTCAAATTGTCCCAGAGGCTCCTTACACTATCTTCATATTTTTGGAGTCTTTTTTTCCTTTTTGCTCTTCTGGTTGGATGTTTTGCTTCCTCATATTTCAAATCATTGATTTGATTTTCAGAATCCTCTACTCTATTTTTGAATCCCTGTACATTATTATTTATTTCAGTCAGTGTAGGCCTAATTTCTGACTAGTCCTTTTCCATTTTTTTGGAGGTTTCTAGAAGATTCTTGAGTAATTTTATAACCATGGTTTTGAACTTTATATCCAGTAGCTTGCTTTCTTCCATTTCTTTCATTCGTGACATGTTTCTTTGTCTCCACATTTTGGCTACTTCCTGTGTTTATTTCTATGTATTGGTAGAGCTGCTACATCTCCTTGAGTTGGTAGAGTGGCCTTGTTTATTAGGTGTCCTATAGGGCCCAGTGGCTCAGCCCCCTGTCATCAGAGCTGGGAGCTCTAGGTGCACCCCTTTGTGGGCTGTGAGCACTGTTTTGTTGTAATTGAGACTTGATGGCTGTTGGTGTCACTGGGAGGAATTGACCTCCAGAACAATTGGCTGTGAAGGCCAGCTGCAACTACAGTGGGAGAGCAGCTGTGCAGGAGACACCTCTATGGAGCAGGACTTGCTTCAGTGGGGCTTTGGTGCTCACTGCGCCTGCCCCTTGAGTGTGTCACTTATGGATGTGAAGAGTTGCAATCTGGTTTGGTCTCACACTGACCACTGGGTACACTGGCTCTTGGGTCTCCAAAGAGGTGCAAAGTCAGCCACTGCCTGGGGCCACCCAGCATCAGCTATGAGAGATCTGCAGATTCCTCCTCTTTGTATGGGATTTGGAAGTGCCCAGATGAGGCCCAGCTGTGAAGCAAGGCAGGCTGGTGCTGATGCCGGGTCATGGGCCTTTTATTGATAGGTTTGGGGCTTCCTGACCCAGCTGTAGCTTCGGTGGGGTTGTAAATTAGGTGGGACCAGGTCTTAGGGAATCACCAGGACGGAACAAATAGAAATGGCTGCCAGTCAGCACTGTGACCGGGGAGATCCCAGCATAGGAACGAGGATCCCTGTGAGCACCTTCGTCTGGGAGAAAGCCGCCCACCGAGTTCCTGCCCTGATACCAGACAATCCAGTTCCTCCTTGTATGTGTCTGTGTCCCCAGAAGCTCGCCCTGATGCTGGAGCTCAGAGGGAAGCCGGACCTTGTGAGTTCAGCTCGTGGTGCCACCTTTGAAGAGGAACAGCTGGGTCTCTGGCAGCCTGTGTGTTACCAAGCCCCGGTCCCCACTGGTTTTTACAGCCGGAGTTCTTCCTGCCTGTAGGGACTTCTTTTCCCAGCTGGGAGCCTGGGCTGGGGGTCTGGTGTGGGGCTGGGTCCCCTTAGTCTTCTGGGGGCCTCCGCAGAGATGATCTTCCTCCAGATTAAAAAAGCAGCCCACGTGGGTGCCAGACCAGTCTGTTCCGCGCCTCCACACCTCCTACCAGTCTCAGTGCTTTCTTCTCTACTCCTCTAGTAGTAGGACTTCCGTTCAGCCAGCTTTCCAGCGGTTCTGGATGATGGTTGTTGGGTATTTTAGTTGTAATTTTGATGTGGTTGTGGGAGGTGATGAGTACAGGCATTTACCTACGCCACCATCTTATTGTCAAGCCGCCAGAGTCAACATTTTCACTTTCAAAGTAAATGGAGTAACAGTACATGAGCCATAAAAATAAATTAAGATCATGCACCTTTTAATTTAATTAAATTTATTGCAATGACATTAACATTATATAAAAACAAACCACTGTTAATGTTCCTAAACTGACACCCACTACAGATGTGACAATGGCAGAAGATGGGCACAGCCTGGGTTTATAGTTTCTTTTCTTCTGGAAAAGAAAACTTTTTGTTTTTTAGTTGATTTCAGAGAGGAATGAAGAGGGAGAGATAGAAATATCAATGATGAGAGAGAATCATGTCACTTGCCTCTTGCACGCCCCCTACTGGGGATCAAGCCCGCACCCTGGGCACGTGCCCTGGCCAGAATCAAACGGTGACCTCCTGGTTTATGGGGTCAATGCTCAACCACTGAGCCACACCGGCTGGGTGAAAACTACTTTATGTCTTAAAATTTTTTCAGGAAATTTAAATTTCTAGCCATACAATCATATCCACCTAAAACTTATCACAGTTCTCTCCATTAGGCCTGAAATTCTATTTTAAAAGCTTCTTCGATCAAAGAAATGCATATTGGAAAACAACAAAAAGCAGGATAACTTTCCATCAAAACCTCTATTCTCCCCACCAAGATTTAAAAGGGAATATTGAATTTAAAATCTAAATACGAAAAACACAAATATTTTTGTTCTAAAAAATGACATAATTTAAAAATTAAGATTTAGGTAAGAAGGGAATGGTAAATTTAGACGCATGTGGTTCAAGGCTGTTGTAAAATTCTTGGTGTCACTCCACCTGCCCCCAGAAGAGGTTGGGAAAATTATTTTTTGACTCAAAGTGAGCTCAGATGCTTCAGATGAAAGAATAAATAAAACAGCGAATGAAAGTGGCGCCATTCCCCTACAGAGACCAGCTGCGAGTCTGTCTTTTTCTCAGCGCACCAAAGGGAAGTATCCATGACAATGAAATCAACTGCATGCACTGCAGGACACACAATCAGGGTGAAGATGTGAAGCTCTGAGGGCCCAGACCACAGCGCACCCACATGAGGACATGACTGTGACATCACTGAGCTCACAGGAAGGAGAACATCAGCCACCATTTGGCTCAAGTCCCAGGGGCTGCACATTCTGGGTGACTGAGCGGGGACTCAGTCCGCAGCACTCAGCCCTGGGCCCCAGTGCTCCAGGCAGCACGGAGGCGACTGGGAGAGGCCATACCGCCCCTCCGGGAGCCCCTTCCCCCAGGACGCTGAGGCGTTAGCATTTCTGACCCAGCCACCTCCTACCTTCATCTTGAAGACCGGCTGGAATTCCTTCAGGGCAGATAACAAACGGATCTGCACCGAGGCCCTCTCAGCTTCGCTGCCGTCAGCGAACACATCGAAGAGGGCGTCCAGGGCCTCTCCCACCACCACCAGCGACGGGTCCTTGGTGGCCACCTCCAGCAGGAAGCACCCGATGGTCTGCGGCCGACAGAACGCACCTGTCACCCGGCGCTCAGGGCCGTTCCTGACCACTGCTTCACGGTAGCAGCGGTTTATGCACAAGGTTTTACATAAAACCCAGGGGCAAAGGAGAGCTTTTAAAAGACTTAACACTTATTTATGAATACACCAAGTAAAATATAAACAAGATAGATGAAACACAGTAGAGCTTATGTTACTAAATAAGATGAAATAAGGTCCACAAATGATATATGAAAAGATCGATTTAGAAAATTATTAAGTTTTCCTTGTCACCCTCAAAAAGGCTTTCCCCATGGTGTAAAAATGCATAGAAATAGTATCTGTAACAAAAAACCCTGCTTTTTAAAGTGTAAGACAAACACAGGCAATGAAAGAAACTGAACACAACAGGCTCAGATGGCTCCGCTGTGCTGCCCCCTGACACCCACCTCACCACAGCCCGCCGGGCCTCTGTTTTCCATCTGAATGTGCGTGTCTAGGAACCCTTCAGGCAGCGTTTCTACTTCATACCCCGCACGACAGGGGGCGTTTCACTAACACCCTCCAGGAAGCAGCTTAATGTGACCTCATCTCATGATGTCCAGCGAGGTTTTGAAGCCTCACACCCCACGCCCCACCTCTAATCACTGAGCATTTGAGGTCGGAAGCCACTGTTACCTTGAGAGTTTCAAGTGCACCATCTTCTTTGGCGAGGACGCTGCCCGTGATTCCCAAAATGCTCACCACGTTCACTCTCACCCCGACGCTGCCGCTCTGGACACCGGCTCTGCACAGCGTCATCAGCTGGTCGGGGGTCATGCACTGTCGGGGAGGAGACGAGCATTTAAGGCGAAGCTCAGCCATCGGCACGCGAGACACGCCGAGGGCGTCTCCACAGGCTGCCTGTCCTGAGAACAGCAGCTCTCCGCAAAGACGATGCTACACTTTCTGGTCACTCCCAGAACCGCTGGTCGTGGAGCCAGGGGAGGCCTGCGGGGGGCACTGGCGCCGTCCAGCCCGCGACGCCGTGCGCCTGTGGAAGGGCTTCCGTTCCCACTAGTCCATCTGAAGACGTCCGTGCAGGTGCACACAGACTAATGAGATTCCAACTGCATTTCATCTCGTTTGAAAACGTAATAGGGTCGCGTGCTTTAATAAAAACTGGCTGAACCTATGTGCACTCCGAGAGGGTTATGGCGACTGTGAAGGACTTGGAACCATTAGCTGACACAGCGCTCCGCTGTGCAGGGATACTTCCGGTGTGAGCTAATCTGCACACGCACGTGGATGTGGTACCGTGACAGTGCGACATCCTGCTGCCTGGGAGCAGCAGCACAGTGTGGGCACCCAGGGCTTGGCACCGGGACGTGACGCCCTGGGTTCGAATCCCAGCCCCACTCCTTCCTCCTGGCGATCCAGCCCAGGTCCTCAGCCCTCGGAACCCTCATCTCCCGTCAGCAACTGGGGGCGATGATCGTCACAGAGCTGCCAGGAGGGTTAAACAGTGCGCGCACAGCACTCACTAAATGTGGGCTGTCACTCTGTAGAAGAGACCGAGCTGCTCTAAATTACTGAACTCATCTCTGAACGAGAAGCCCGTCGGATGGGAAAAGCTCCACTAACTCTGGCGCCTTCAGAGCTGGCCGGCGGGGAGAGGGCGTGTGGCGTCATCGCCGTCTGACTCCCAGTGGAAGTGTCTCGTGTGGGGGAGCCACCGGGCGGCAGGACAGCTGTGCCCGGGCCGGAGTTGTCCCTCAGCAAGTCCTGCCCTCGGTGTCCTCCGCTAATACAGCCCTCGGGAGCCAGGCTCCTGCAGCTCTAACACTCGAAGCCCAGCCCAACATGCCGCCAGCCCGAGAACGGATGACCTTAACGCAGAGGGACACTTTCTCAGTAACTGAGCCTGAGCTTGAGCAGTTCCTCTTAAGCATCCGGCCGGTCCCGCCAATGGCCGCCTGGCACCATGGCACATCAGTGAAATGCCAGAGGCTCCTGCCAGCCCTGCAGGGAGGGCTCGCCGACCCTCCCAACAGCCTCTCGGCAGGCCGGGCATTCTTCCCATTCCCATGTCACAGAATCAAAAAGTTACGTTCTTGAAAAAAAGTCTCCAATGTACAAAGAAATGTTTGAAGAGAACGTATGAGAAGCCAGCAGCACGCACTACATTTAACATTCCCAGTAAACTCTGGGGCCAGGGGCAGCGTGGCACGTGTGGGATGCCCTGGGGGCCGGGAGGAAGACCCGGCCACTGGGGAGGAGGTCCAGGACCTGGGAAGCCGGGGCCCTGGCACAGTGAGGTCACCCGGGGGTGGCAGAGGACTGACCAGACAGGGAGCGTGCTCTCACCACCCATCGCTGATAACCAAGTTCATTTGTGAGCCTGGGGATATGGTATTGTGGTTACAATTTTATAAAGTTCATTTATGGGTGAAATAACTGGCTAATACCCGGTGACGATGCGTGCGGGTTCCTTACACTATTTTCTTATGACCACACACTACCATCTCTGCTTTTGGGCAAGTTTGACAATTTCCTGAACAAAAAGTTAAACGTTTCAGGGAAAAGGCGCCTCGCATGGAGGTGAGGTGGTTGGCTGTGGAGGGTCTGGAGGGCGTGCTTGAAAACGACTGTAATAAAATGCTTTTAAGGAGACAAACGAGGAGCAGAGAAAATCTTTACTCGCCGACATCAAGAAGCTGCACCAATGAGAAAGCCTGCGGCCGTGGTGGGAGGAGGGGCCGCGGTGAGAGGGGAAAGGCTTTAGTCTCACGTTAGGCGCCTCTGCTCTCCTTGGACTGTACAAGGGCCACGTGACGGAAACGCCCTTCACCAGCAGTGAGGGCATCACTTTGCCTCCGTAACGAGGCTCCTGGCGGGCTGCACAGAACAGCGGGGACATCTCACCTGAGAAATGTTGTTGGCGGCCATTGTCTGCAGAAGGGCCCTCAAGGCGCTGCTGATGGCTTCCAGGAAGTCCATGTGCTTGGCAAAGTCTGAAACAGGGTGAGGCGTGAGTGCCTTGGTGCAAAGGGGACAGACCCAGACCGAGCGTGGGAAGTGGCACATGTGCCATCGTCGCAGACACGCTGTGCGATGGAAGCGAGCTCCTGGGAAAGCCCTGCAAGACCGCAGCGACTGAAAGGACCGTGACAGGGCCTGTACCCCGGGTCCTGCCCCTCCGAAATCCTGCTCCGCCCGAGCGGGGCCCACAGCAGCCTGCGACTGACCTGGCTGAGAAAAGAGCAGGGTGGACAGGTGCTGGGCCAGGGCCTGGAGGGCCGGCGCCCCGCCCAGGTGCTCCACCTCCAGCAGGGACACGAGACTCTGGAGACACACGAGGGCTCGCCACTGCACGGTGTTCATCCTGTGTTGGGAGTGGAGACTGTCGTCGGCTTCTCTACGGGGTTCCCCACGGAACCCAGGCCCCCTGCCACCCTGCCCTCCGGCAGTCAGCACAGACTCCATCACACCGCCCCAGCCTCCAGGCCCCGAGGCGCAGCCACTTCCGGGGCATCAGGCACTGGCTTTAGAAAAGTGCACACGGCAGCAGCTTTCAAATCACCTGTAGCTGGGAAGTGTGCCCTCCCTCCGGGAAAGCCCTTCAATGTGCGTCCAGTTTAACAGTGTTTCAAGGCACCGACCCTGCACCCAGGTGAGCGATGCACGCGGCTGGCACCCCACAGCCCCCCCACCGTGCCTTCCCTGCCACACCCCACCGCTCCGACCCCTGAAGGTCACCACGCCCCACATGGATGGGAAATAGTTCCTAGCTTTCTTCACAGGTTTGCCACTCATGTACGCATCCCTAACACACAGCCGGGCGCCACCTGCTTTTGAACTTTGTAAAAACGGAATCAGCCCAGCTCAGTGGTTGAGAATTGACCTATGAACCAGGAGGTCATGGTTTGATTTTTGGTCAGGGCCCATGCCCAGGTTGCAGCTCAATCCCCTGTAGGGGGCGTGCAGGAGGCAGCTGATCCATGATTCTCTCTTGTCATTGATGTTTCTATCTCTCTCCCTCTCCCTTCCTCTCTGAAGTCAATAAAATATTTAAAAAAGCACCTGAAGCAGTGCATATATTCCTCTGTGCCTCCCTTTCTGGCTCGATGCTGTTTCATCCCGTGGGGACTAGTCCTAGCTCGGATTCTGCTTACTGCTGCCTGCATCCTACTGCCTGACGATGCCAAACGCATGGACCCCCCTGCCGCCGATGGGCCCCCCTGCTGTGCACCCGCTCGGGTCTCAGTGCCCTGAGCACACGCCGCTCCAGGGCACACGCTCGGGAACAGAACTCGGGAATCCGGGGGGAGCGGCAGCTCCGGCTGAGCGGTCCCCCTTTCATAGCACAGCGACGACGAACGGTTTTGAAAATAGACAAGGTCTTACTTTCTAACCAAAGGTTTCCACGTGGGGTTCCTGGAACACACGTCCACAGCAGCGCTGCTGGGAAAGGCAGTTTTCTCAAACACCTGGACTTGAAAAGGCGGGAAAGCAGAAGATGAACAGTGGACTCCTTACACAGGCCCCTTACAGAGCCGGCGCGGCAGCTACATGAGACGGCGGGCGGCCTGCATTCGGCCTCGTCCCCGGTGACCCAGTGTGAGCTCACTCCCCTGCACACAGAGCAAGCAGCCTCCCAGGCCTTCCCCACGCCGCACGGCGAGCCCGGACCGGGAGCCAGTACCTTCCTGGGGATGTGGAAGTTGGTGAGGGCGGCGTGCGTCTCATGCGAGAGGCAGAGGGGAGACAGCAGCTGCCCCCCGCCCTCGCCCAGGGAACTCTCCATGAACGCCTCGCTCTCGTCACTGCTGGAAAGCTCTTCCTCCCACTCGTCGTCCGAGGGATCTGTGGAGAGTGCAGAGCACGCAGGGCTGGGGTTGGTGAGCACGCCTCGTGGGAGCTGTGGAGCCCAGGGGAGCAGGGGCCGCCCAGGAGCAGGGCCGGGGACAAACCTTCACTGCAGCACACGTTGACGATGATCTCCAGAGCGGTCTGCTGCGCCGTCAGCAGCGCCGTGGCCTCTCTCAGCTCCTCGTTAGTGGGCTAGGAAAACCAACACCAGCTCTCAGAGTCAGGGAAAGCATGTTCTTTTCATAATATGTTTTCATTGATTTCAGAGAGGAAAGGAGAGGGGGAGAGAGAAATATCCATGATGAGAGAGAATCATGGACCGGCCGCCTCCTGCACGCTCCCCACTGAGGATCAAGCCCGCAACCCGGGCATGTGCCCTGATCGGGAATCGAACTGTGACCTCCTGGTTCATAGGTTGACGCTCAATCTGCTAGCTGGAGAGAGGGAGAAATACTCAGCCCCATGAACTGAATTTACCCTGAAACTTAGCCGGATATATTAAGAAGTAGCTGAACACTAAGATGAAACAGAACATTCATTTCATTTCAGATGCCAGGCACTGACACATGACAAACCCGCTCTCAGATGCCTGGATGTCCCCTCGGGAAAGACTGCACCCGTGAGAACTCCCAGCAGCCCTTCAGGCCCGCAGAGCTTGCTGAAGGCTGCTTCCTGGCTGCCCTAAAGACGCAGCTGGCATTCCTTTAACACTGAAGAGAGAGGGGGCACCCCCTCCCCCGGGAATAAATTAACACAGCCTTGTCAATTACCATCCTTAAGAGGGGCTGGAGAGACTTACACGACCTTAATTCACAAATCACCTATGGAAAGTGAAATAGCTACACTGACATTCCAAACCCATGCATAAGCTAAAAATCATGTAAACTTTACTGTCTGAATGACGGATGCATTATAATTTATTAAGCATTTCACTAGTGTGGAATAGTTCAGATTACTTGGGATATCTTATTTGTCAGATTTATGGGTCAGAGCTTAAAAACTAGAGACCTGCCCGGCCGGTGTGGCTCAGTGGTTGAATGTTGACCTATGAACCAGGAGGTTGCTGGCTTGATTCCCAGTCAGGGCCATGCAGGAGGCAGCCAATGGAGATTTCTCTCTCATCAATGTTTCGATCTCTCCATCCCTCTCCCTTCTTGCTAAAAATCAATAAAAACATTGTTTTAAAAATCAAGCAAACAAAATAACTAGAGACCGTGACATAGTGCGATTTCCTTCTAGAAGGTAGATACTCCCTTGTTACCCTCCAGCCGCTTCCTGTGCAACAATGTAACTGTAACTTCAAAACAAGCTCTTGAAAAATAAAGGCAAATGGCTAACGAAGAGATGTAGCTCATTTAACATTTGTATTCCTTTTATTGCTGGCAAGAATGAATGTAAAAATTATTCCTCTTTGCTGTGGGTATGGTATTCAACCAAAGAAAACCTATGAACGAGACAGGCTGTTGCGGGCTCTTACCCACCTAAAAAGGCACGCAGATCTGGCTTAGAAGCATCGGAGTTGGCTTTTGCCTTTCCATGCAACTCTCCTGCTCAGAACAGTTCCCTGCTGCTCATTGCTATCCAAGTGACAGGAGGAGCCAATCTAGCGGAAATGTTACGATAGCAGAGATTGGCTTCATAACACTGGGCAGTGGAGGGGAGAGCGGGCAGGGACATCGACGAGAACAGACTGCGGTTTGATGGCCGACAGCTGTGGACGCGGGGGAGCGAGGACCCTTGTCCGTGACCGCAGCTTTTTAGGGGAAATGCTGCGATTACAGATTCTGGTTCTAAAGGACTCCCGCACAGTCTGCAGCTGACGGACTATATGTCGTATTCCGGGCACGTACCAGCATGATGGCTGGCAGCCGACGGGCACCTAAACACTGGCTGGCCGACTGGCATGTTAATCACCCAGTCGACTCAGTTATGTCAATAGACTTTAAAAAGCAAGCTTCTGTTATAAGAAAACACTGCATTTTATAAGCAGCAAAGTTCTATTTTTAAAGAGTACTTAGGGGAGTAAATCTCTAAATACCAGTTAAGTATCCATACTTTTTGTTGCTGTTAATCCTCACATGAGGATATTTTTTCCATTGCTTTTCAGAGAGAGAGGAAGGGGGGATTAGAGGGGGAGGAAGAGAGAGACACATTGATGTGAGAGAGGCAAGACACATCGACTGGTTGCCTCCCGCACGCGCCCCGACTGAACCCGCAACCCAGGTAGATGTCCTTGATTGGAACTGAACCCAAGTCCCTGCAGTCCGCGGGTAGACGCCCTAACCACAGAGGCAAATGGCCAGGGCGACACTCTATGACTTGCAAGAAACTCGAAGGGCAGTGTTCACCCCACACCTGACGCAATGCTGTGCACCTAACAGCTATTCATGGGGCTAGAAAAGTAGCTCTAACTACATTTTCCTTTTAAACACCACCAGTTCATGTTTAAGAGACTGTGTGAACACAAACTCGTAGTATGCTGACAGATGTCTTTTCAGGCACATTAATTCTTACTGGGCACAGCCTCTCAAAACTCTAAGGCACTCTCATAGACCAGCCTCAGTTTCAGGTCGTTTGACACGAAGGAAGACAGGCTGGTCTGAAGCGGTACAGTGTGGGGACATTCGTGCCTTCTTCCAGCTCAAGCCTCCTCCCCCCGGGATGGCGCCAGCAGCCTCCTGCGCCTCTGGCCTCCAGGGCCTCACAGTGCCACCTGCTCTCACCATGCTGGCGTGGCCCAGCCTATAAGGCGGCCCAGGTGCCTGTCCAGAGTGCTCTCTAACAGCCTCTTCCGTCCTATGCCTCCTCTACACAAACTGCTCCCGGGGAGGCCTGCGCCCAGCCCCTGTGGTCCCAACACAGGCATGACAGTAAGTCACTACGGGGAGCCTCTCCTCCCACGATGGAGGTGGTCTCTGAAGACAGGAAATGCGTCTTAATCATCTTCCCTTGGTCAGCACCTGGCCCGAGCCTGGCACCCGGCAGGGCACAGGTGTGCACCTGAACAAGCAGGCTCCGCTCCTCCCTGTCCTCCTAACCACCTGCTCTCCTCCTTGGGAGCATTCTCTCTGCTGACCAGCATGGCTGAAAAGTTCCCCGCACCCTCACGCCAACATCACACCCACTGGCACGAGCGAGCGGCATCACCCAATCAGCAAACCCACCAGCCATCGTCCATCTTCCCCATTGCCCAGCCTCTTCCGTGCAGTAGCAGTGGGCACAGGGCCGTGTGGCCGGCTGCCTGGTGAGGCTCAGCACTAACACAACAGAGACGAGGCCAGGCCAGCGGAGCTCAGGGGCTGAGCATCGACCTGTGAACCGGGGGTCAGGATTGGATTCCCGGTCAGGGCCCAGGCCCAGGTTGCGGGCTCCATCCCCAGTGGGGGGTGTGCAGGAGGCAGCCGATCTGAGTCTCTCTCATCATTGATGTTCCTGTCTCTCTCTCTCTTCATTCCTTGCTGAAATCAACAAAAATGTATTGCCATACTGAAGAGCCCCAGGTTCAATTCCGGTCAAGGGCATGTACCTTGGTTGCGGTCACATACCCAGTAGGGGGTGTGCAGGAGGCAGCTGATTGATGTTTCTCTCTCGTGGAAGTTTCTAACTCTCTATCCCTCTCCCTTCCTCTCTGTAAAAAATCAATAAAAGATATATTAAAAAAAAATAACTTAAAAAAATGTATTTAATAAATAAGTTAAAAAAATAAAAGAGACACAGATGTCCTGGGTCGGACAATCCAAGCAGAGTGACAATCCCTCTGCTGGGTAAGTCGGGAGACGGCGTGTGAAGGCACTGAGGAGACAGCAGCGGGAAGATGGCCATGTGTTTCTAATGTGTTGTAACAGTTCGCTCTGTCCCGTCTCTGAAATCTTCTGTATGTAAACGTTTCATTCTAAACAGGCTTTTCCTCTGTAGCAGTAGGAAGACAGCACTGATTTTCACTGAAATCCACTTTCTAGTTAACTCTGCTCTCACACTGTCCAACAAAACGCAGGGTAGCTGTTAAAAGAAAACGTCCGTGTGACCCCGTTTGGACGCACCGACCCGACTTACCGGAAGTAAATCCGAAATGAAAGTTTTCCTCCTGACCCTTCTCTTGGGAGGCGTTTCCTCCATCTCGTCGTCTTCGGTCCAGCCCGCGCCGTCCACGCTCTCCAGCACCTCCTCGGTCTCCGCGGCGGTTCTCAGCCTCCGCGCCTCGGCCTCCTTCATCTGAAGGACCACTGCGCCGGCGTCCATTTCCAAAACTTCGGACAAGATCTTGAGGATGGCGCTTATGATTTCTGCTTGACTCTTGGACGGAATAATGTCCTTTAGGTTCCACACTGTGCCTGGGAGAAAACGAGCGCAAGGACAAAGGGCTCGCCTTCGAAATCTGATAAACACGGTTTCCACAAGATTGGTTCTCGAAGCTCAGCTGTAATTTCAAAACATCTTGATCCCACTGCCTTTGTTCGGTTTCTGTTAAATGTCAGAGAGCGGTGCGCAGAGGCAGCTCCTGTTACTACAGCCCCTCGCCACCTCTCCCCGCTTGGCTCACAGGCCCTCCTCTGACACACCGCCTCGCACAGACCAGGAGCACCGATCGAGTTTCTTTGAAAATGATAAATTCACTTGCTTCGCTTTCTTTCATCTTAACCTGAGCTGCTCTCTGAGGCAGCTTCTTATATTCCAAGAGTGGAATGGAATGTATTAAAAATTCCAAGGTCTCGCGTACAGACCAATCACATTGCATGTTCTTAACAAAACAGAACGGGAGCTACCATTAAGTAGTTAGGCCAATGATTTAAAGCGTGACTTTTAAAAATACTTCCTGGGTACATAACCAAAAGAACTGAAAGCAGGGACTCAAGCAGGTATTTGCATCCCCGTACTCATTGCAGCATTATTCAACAGCCAGAGGTTGGAAGCCACCCAGGTGTCCATCCACAGATGAATGGATAAACCAAATGTGGTACATACAGCCTGGCCAGTGTGGCTCAGTGGTTGAGCATGGACCTATAAACCAGGAGGTCACAGTTTGATACCTGCTCAGGGGCACATGCCTGGTTGCAGGCTGGCTCCCCAGTGGGGGCCATGCAGGAGGCAGCCAATCAATGATTCTCTCTCATCACTGATATTTCTCTCTCTCCCACTCCCTTCCTCACTGAAATCAACAAAATATATATAGTGAGTGGTCACGTCTTAGATGCCCACAGCCCATTTCTGATCTCCTAGTTAGTAAGGGACCCTGAGAGCAGCATGTCTCCACCAGACAACAGTATTCCGTTACATGGAAAGCAAGTCGACTCTAGGAGGCTTCCCAACTATGCACACCGCTTGAATTCAGGGTCTCCACTTCAATATTAAAAATTTCAGAACAGACATAGTAAGCACAGAAGGCCTGGATTGGTGAAATCAAGGAGTTTCAGCCTCCCGTCTCTACAAGTTACTGAAGAACACCTGTCACAGCCAGCTAAACTTTACCTGCCACTAGTGTCTTCAACAGGGTATACGCCATGGAGCTGACAGGAGCCCGCATGGCGGATTCCAGCACGTGCAGCGCTGAGGCACTGAGCGATTTCAGTAGCTCTGGGTTATCTTCAGTTACCGTCTGCAAACAATAGGCTAGGAAGACAAGAATGAAATGCTCAGAAACAATGAATTCTGCGAGGGTAGCTCACACCAAAATAGCTCCATTTAACTCCTCCCCTGAATTCAAACAAGACAAATAAATCTATGACAAGACTAAAGACACAAAAACAGAAGTGACATTTTTCTTTTAAAAGCAATGAACTAACTTTCCTGAAACTCTTATTGTAATAAAACCCACCTTCTGAGATTAAAAGTCACCTGCCAATTTCCTTGTTCCACTGTTTATGAAACTCCACATTTACTCAGTCTCCCCCTTGCCAAAGAGTCCATTTTAAGAAAAAGATTTTTAAATTTCCCCAGTAGTATTTGCGCCCCCCCTCCCCTGGCTTTTTTTCTTTTTCTTTTCTGTGCTCTTAAAAGTACCCATTAGAGCCAAGAGAAACAGCATTAAGGAGAATGTGCTTCGTCCTTGCCAGGAGAATGCATAGTTAAATAAAGGATGCCTGCCAGGATTATGGGCAGAAAAGGGATGCTTTTCATCAATTATTTCTCCGCTCTACTCCAAGTTCTCCAGTTTCGGCTCCTACCTCACCAATGGCTCTCTAACCCCGTGGACAGGAGGAGGGAGGCGGGCAGCTTTGCCATCCCAAGGAAAGGAAGCAGGCCTGCGAGAAATTTCAATCATTTGTTTTCTTCTCTCTCAAAAAAAAGGCCCAGATTTACCAGTTTTATGCCAAAGGTAGGAGACAGCAGCCCGGCTGGTGTGGCTCGGTGACTGAGCACCGACCCATGAACCAAGAGGCCACCGGTTCGATCTCGGTCAGGACACATGCCTGGGCTGTGGGCTTAATCCCCAGTAGGGGGTGTGCCGGAGGCAGCTGATCGATGATCCTTCTCTCTCATTGATGTTTCTATCTTTCTATCCTATCCCTCTCCCCTCCTCTCTCTAAAAATCAATAAAAACATGTTTAAAAAAGAAGGAGGAGACAGTGGTGCAAGGCATTGAAATAGGTCCAGCATCCAATGACCTCTGGCTGCAAGGCCTGGTAGCTGTGGGTCACTGTTTCTCCGTGAATGGCAGACAGGAGCTCAGGAAGTGAGAGGCTTCTATGAATGTTAACGGCAGAGGCCTCACAGGCTCAATTAACTGCTTCCCTCCCTTTCCGAGTGAAGACCTTGTCAGTACTGACCACAGATTTTAAAAGATTCAGAACAGAGCTCAGCTATGCATTTGCACACGAGAAAACATGCTACATCCGAATAGACATTTTCAAACCAGGCCACACGTAAGCAGACCATCACCGTTTCTTCACTCACCTGCTGAAATAGCCAGGTCGACGTTGGTGGGAAACCGGCTTAAGTACTTTAATACCATCTCCAAGCACCCTTCTTTGTTGACTATAGACACTGCTCTGTTACTGCATTCACTAAATTGAAGGGGGGAGAAAAGCTTTACTATTCACATTTTCACATTAAGAAATCAACCACAGAAATTCATGAAACAGTCAGTCAGGTTTTATAACAGAACCAGAGTTGGAGTCAAACACCCGCCATTTTATGAAGAAGCCGCTGCCCTCGGTCCTCTGGACAGGAACGCAGCGGTGTCTGCGTCTGTGTCTCTACCCAGTGGGCTCTTCCGCCCGTCTCTCTGCCTGACCCCCGTCTGCTCACAGGCGGTCGGAGCTGGAAGAGCCTGAGAAACCACTTCCTTCCAGAGGAGGCCCAGGCCCCAGAGGTGCATGACCTGCCCAAAGACCACACCTTCTGAGTGGTGGCTCCTAGGGTCGGCCCACTGCGCTTCCCACCGCACCGCAGTGACAGTGAGTGAAAGACCTCTGTGCTTCTCCCCAAAGGCACGCAATTTTAAGAAAGCAGAATTAAATTTTAGCCATTCTTTCTAGACTATTAGAATTTCAACAAGCAGAATTTAGTCTGCAATGGAGATCCTGATATAATATTTTTAAAAACCATACTATCTGTTAATAAAAAAATCAGAATGTTATCACTGCTATTATCATATGTACTAACTACAGGGTAAAGAGAGCTAACTGTAATAATGACAGCCATGCCGAAACCGGTTTGGCTCAGTGGATAGAGCGTCGGCCTGCGGACTGAGGGGTCCCGGGTTCGATTCCGGTCAAGGGCATGTACCTGGGTTGTGGGCACATCCCCAGTGGGGGATGTGCAGGAGGCGGCTGATCGATGTCTCTCTCTCATCGATGTTTCTGACTCTCTATCTCTCTTCCTTTCTCTCAGTAAAAAATCAATAAAATATATTTAAAAAAAAAAATAATAATGACAGCCATGCTTCCAGAGAAAATATTGCCCCATACATACTATGTACCCATATCACATACTAATAGCTAAGCTGACTACAGCACTGAATCCAGTCCTACGAACTGAAACATAAACCGTTCCTGTCTTCCTCTCTCTATCTAGTTCTGCACTCCATGAGCCTGCCCTCAAGAAGCCCACAGTCAATCAGTACAGCCAGGAGGGTGAACACACATGCTCTGAGACGGTAAAAGTGCACATGTATGTAAGCGTATTTACAATATAAACTACAAGCAAACATGTCAGTGGCATGCCACAGAGAGGCTCACAGGCATCAGGAGAGAGCTCACTGAGGAGATTACGCGTTCAGGCTCTTCCCGGAGAACTTTCTAGAAAATCTCCAAGTTCAACAGTTTCTATAGGTTGAAGTTACGTGGCCCGGTGTTGTGGCCCAATGGTTGACCCTATGAGTCAGGGTTCGATTCTCAGTCAGTCGGGGCACAGGCCTGGGTTGCAGGCTCGAGCCCCAGTGTGGAGCGTGCAGGAGGCAGCCGGTCAGTGATCCTCTCTCATCACTGATGTTTCTCTCTCCCTCTCCCTTCCTCTCTGAAATCAATAAAAACATTTA